TATGGTGTCGCGTGCTACTACGGTCGCCAGACCGTGGAGCCCTTTTCCACTGGAGTCGGTCCGTGGCTCGCGCTATGGCTTCTCGCTAATTCGTTGCCTCGAGGAATTTCTTTCGTCCGCGCGTCGAGCGACCAAACAGCCCCCAAACTCCCGTGTAAATGGCACGTATTCGCGCGACCACCACTACCACCACCACCAACGCCACACGCCTGCAGGAGGACCACCTTTTTAAAACCTTTCGACCGATCTTACACTCGCGGCGTTCCGATCCTCGGCGTCCCTTGGCTTCTGTTTTCCCTCGTTCGCCTCGACAGCTGATGCCACTCACTCGGAAACAGTTGCTCCTTCGCGATTTCTCACATTCTCGACGGATTGACGAAAAAAAGTACAAATTTCCGTTTAGAAAGAATTTCTATTAATAAGTTATTGCCACAGTCGACGATAAGTAAATTAATCGAGTGTTTCGAAAGAAACAGTAGTTTTTTTTTTTTTACTTTGACTTCAATTTCCACTTTCGACAAACTGTTGTGCGTGTAGTTGTGGAACGCGATCATTGTTCTTTCATAGACAGCGGATAGATTCGAGAGATCTCGAAGATCGTAAAACCACGCAGTGGACTTTGATTGACAAGTGGATAAATTGGCAACGCAGTCGAGAGGCGAGTCTGCAGTGTCAGCGGCAACGCAGGTGTTTTCTCGAAGAAATTAAACTGCAGCGAGTTTTTAAGGCTCCGCTTTTAATTGCACCGTAATATCCTCCGAGCCCGCGGAAGGTTTACAGCCGCGGCCATTAAGCCCGCTATTTTTGTATCGCCGCCGCGTTTCGTAAGACCGAGAATTCCATGTCTCGCTACGCGGACGAGTCCTTCGCGAGAGAGTCGGGCGATTTTTTTGCTGCGTAAATTCATGTGTCCTCCAATTCTACATACCAGGTTGTTACACGTGAAATGGTCAATTTCACGAGCAACACGAAGTCTCATTAGGATTTTCATATTTATTAGACGAGAATTTCGAGCTTGAAACTAGTCGAGCACAACGTGATGAAGTAGTGTTTCCTCATTTATTTTATTATAAAGTACCAATTTATTAAAAATGTATTCTGCCAATTAAATACTAGCGAAAGTTATTAACACGTTCCGTGCCATGTGTACCGCCGGTGGTACACGCAGTCATAT